CCTTCCTTCAACGACTATCAGGGATCTATGGCGACTGCCCACATTTCAGAGGAGTCCGAGCCTGCTACAGCTACTGTTGTGCCAGGCCCTCAGGTTGTCAGCATTCGCAAGGGCCAGCCTCGCAAGTTTAACTGGAAGAAGGGTGGACAGAACGTCGCCAAAGGTGTCAAGGGACTTAAGGGAGCCTTCATGTCTAGTGAAGGAGGTCAAGGACAAGAGGGCGGAGGTGGTCTACCGCGTTCCCAGACCCAAGACCCGAGTCGCCAAGGCTTTGGTTTCTTTGGAAACCAGAGAGGCAAGCAGGGAGGCAAGATGTCGCAAGCCGACAGCGTGCCTGTGTTGGCCGAAGCTCCCGCTGATGGTATGTACCCGGTAGTACAATTCGGGATGATATCAGTATAAGCTAATCATTTTCAGCTCTTTTCGGCACTGAGCTTGAAGCTCGTATGGAACATGAAAAGAGCATCATTCCAGCCATTGTCACGCGGTGTATCCAGGAAGTGGAGTTGCGAGGTATATTTTGTCCGTCCTTGCTTCCTTGCTCGTTATACTAAAACATAAAACCAGGCATGGACATGGAAGGCATTTATCGCAAGTCCGGTGCCGCTTCAGTCATCCAAACTATTCGCGAAGGCTTTGAGCGCTCTCCCTTTGATTACGATATCTCCGACCCCGACCTTGATATTCATGCTGTCACTTCTACTTTGAAGCAGTATTTCCGCAAACTTCCCAATCCACTTATCACTTACGAAGTTTACGAACTTGTGATAGATTCTGCCGAGGTTAGCCCTATGTCTGCGCGAATTGAACTCATGCAGAAGAGCCTACTCGAGCTGCCTCGCGTGCACCGCGACGTCCTGGAGTTCCTTATCTTCCATCTCAGACGCGTAGTCGAGCGCCACGCAGAGAATTTGATGACGAGTCAGAATGTTGCCGTGGTCTTTGCGCCAACAATCATGCGACCTGAAAGTCTCGCCCGTGAGATGACTGACGTTCAGAAGAAGAATGATGTCCTCAAGTTCCTGGTGGAGAACTGCGAGGAAGTTTTCATGGGCATGTAAGGCTAGGATTAAGGCACTTCTCTTCTCCCGTCCTCACATTCACTCCACTCTCTCCCAATCGCACCCTCATGCATCGATTGCCCCATCTCTTGGGCGTGATTTCAAAGCATGACTTGTTCTTTCACCAATCCTACCTGCTCCTTTTCGAAACTTTGTTCCATCCCTCTATTTTTGTACAGGTACCCCCACTTCTCATCCCATCCGCTCCCCTCCGCTCCCCTCTGCGCCCACTTCCCTACTCGGTTCACAATCAGCGCTGCACGCTTGATATAGATACCCTGTTCTACCCTTTTCTCTTTCTTGATGCCCACCTTTTCCTTACATATTCTGCAGATTCGAAGCCGGTTGATTTACTCGCCCCTGGCTTTAGTTGAATCTAGCCTCACTGGCTTTTCCGGTGACCAAAATTCCTTATTTATGGGTGGTTCACTTCCTGTCCTTTGAGGCACGTTGGTCTTTTTTTTTTTTCTAACTCCGAGCGAGCATTGAATCGTCATCTAGCGTTATGCATCTCTATACAGCACTTCAAGTGAAATGCGGTAGTAGCTGCATTGGTATTCATATACGTTAGTTAGGCTCTTAGTATGATATCATGAATATTTGATTTGATATTGAACGTTGTTACAGGTTATACATGGAAAGAAAAGTCGTTAGGAAATGCGCTTTTCGGGGGAATTCTACGTTTTCAAGGGATTTTCACCACTGTAGGGGAAAGCATTCGAGAATATAAAGTTTTTTTATATAATTTCTAGTCAGCATGATCAGACTATTGAACTTCCACATCAATGATTATTCTTGTAAACGTAAAAACGTGTAGATGTGCAAGGTGGACATAGCTGGTCCAAGCACCCACCGCCTACGACATCGAGGCCACCCGAGCTCCCCCTCAACCCCGAAACCGCTCCTAGCCTCGTCGAAGGCCCTTGAATTCCCCGAATACATAATCAACCATGTCCAAACCAAGCAAATACCTCCTCCTTTCTCTCCCAAACTCCATCGTCCCCTCGCACCACCGCGATGACGCCCTCGAGGCAGTCTCGACCACCGTCTCCCCGGACAATGGCTCCACTACCTCCTTCCCAATCCCGGAGTTCAAGATCGGCACTCTAGATGCCCTTGTTCAGCAGGCGGACGAGCTATCCAAGCTCGAGGCTTCGTGCCAGAGTGTCGTTGCTAAGGTCGGCGATGCGTTGAAGAACATCCTGGAGGACGAGGCGCAGATTGAGCAGATGAAGGTTGTCAATGATAGTATGTCTCTAGCTTGGTGTTGATCTGGCTGTGGAGGGGAAACACAGCACAGTCTTGGAAGAGATATCTATGTGTTCCAGGTTCTGACTGCCTACAGAGCCAGTCGATCAGTACCTACGTACTTTCCAATGGAACAAAGTCAAGTACAGGGCCGATAAGTCCTTGGCGGAGTTGATTGATCTCCTGCAGAAGGTATGTTGCATTGCGCATAGAAATAAGAGGTCTGCCCGGCTTGAACTTATACACTAATGCTTACTGTCAACTCTAGGAAGCGGCTAGCATCGACAATGACATCCGATTCAAGTACTCCCAATATAACCAGGTCAAGAACACGCTGTCCACATTGCAGCGGAAACAAGCGTATGTTGACCGCGACAAATACTATCACCTGTGCATTCAGCATACAAGAACCAGAACTAACCCGGTTTACACAGAGGCAACCTCTCAACCAAGTCGCTCGCCTCAGTGGTCGACCCGAAAACTATCATTCAGGACTCCGAATACATCGAAACTCACCTCGTCGCCGTGCCCATCCAGCTAGTAAAAGACTTCCTGAAAGCCTACGAGACCGTCGCGCCAATGGTGGTTCCGCGGTCCGCGCAGCTGGTCGCTTCCGATAGCGAGTTCACGCTGTACGCTGTAACAGCGTTCAAGAAGCACCGCGTCGAGTTCGTGCATAAGTGCCGTGAGAAGAAGTGGATCCCACGCGACTTTAAGTATGTCGAGGGTGGAAAGGAGGAGGAGCGCAAGGAGGTTGAGCGCGTTGGTGGTGATGAGCGTAAGGTATGGGGTGAGACACTACGACTCGGTCGCACCGCTTGGAGTGAGGCTGTTATGGTCTGGATTCATATTTTGGTTCTGAGAGTGTTTGTTGAGACGGTGCTGCGGTATGGATTGCCGTTGGATTTCGTCTGTGCTTTGGTCCGGGTATGTTCTATGTTCTCTCTCTGTATTTCGTTGGATTTTACAAAGTGGCAAGAGCTGACGATATTTACCTTCTATAGACGCAAACTGCCAAGCAAGCAGACCGCGCAAAGCACAACCTCGAGGATAAATACTCGTATCTGGCGGGCAATGCCTTTGGGCGGGACAAGAAGGGTCGTATGCAGCGGGATGATCCTGGCGAGATGCACGCCGGTGGTGAGGGCGGCGCGGACTACACGCCGTATGTGTTTTATGAATTCGAGTTCAACTAAGGTTGCCTATTTTTGAGGCATCGCAGAGACGTTGCGTACATATACCACTTTGGTACATCTAGCACAAAGTAGCATTGGATATTCTTTTTGATTTCTTCATTTCAATGGCAACGCATTTAAGCGAATAGCAAAAAAAGGGAGACATGATCCCATTACCAATTCTTAGCATGGCCCATCAAATGCATGTGCAAAAGCGATCTATATTGTCCACGCAGTATATATAGCAAGCGGGAGGGGAATCAAGCACAAAAACACCATATCCAATCCGCTGTACAGGACTATTTTATGTCAAGTCGACCATAGATACATCCCAATCCCAATCCCAATCCTGGAAAGCAAAGAAAAAATCCACCTTACTCCTTCTTGGCAGGCAGGTAACCCTTGGAGTCAAGGTAATCAATAATCTGCTTAACAGCATCCTGAACCGGAAGCTCGTAGTTCTTCACATGAACCTCAGGGTTGGCAGGAGCCTCATAAGGAGCGGAGATACCAGTGAACTCCTTAATAACACCCTCACGAGCCTTCTTGTACAGACCCTTGGGGTCACGCTGCTCCGCGACCTCAACGGGGACATCAACATAGACCTCGACGAAAGGCAAACCGGTCTCCTCGCCGGGGGTAACAACCTCGTGCAACTGACGGGCAGTGTCACGGTCCTTCTGGTAGGGCGAGATGAAAGAAGTGATGGCGATGGAGTTGGAGTCGGCAAACAGCTTGGCAACCTCGGCAATGCGACGGATGTTCTCGTTCCGGTCGGCCTCGCTGAATCCGAGGTCCTTGTTCAGTCCGAAGCGGACGTTGTCGCCATCCAGACGGTAGGCGTGCACACCGCGGTCGCGGACGAGTTGGTGCTCTAGCTCGACGGCGAGGGTTGACTTGCCGGAGGCGGAGAGGCCGGTCAGCCAGATTGTGAGACCTTGTTGGTTGCGCAGCTCGGTGCGCTCGCTGCGGGTCAGACCGCTGGCGTGGAAGGTGATGTTGCTGTTTTTGAGGTTAGTGTTGGGGTAGATTGACAATTGTTGGGTTTTACTTACGTAGACATTTTTGAATATGGAATTTAATGAAGAGAAAGAAAGTTGAAAACTGAAAAAGTCATTGAAATAAAAGGAGGGGCAGTGGGCAGTGGATTGGCCGCGTCACAGAAGATGTGATCATCGCGGGGTGTCGCCATTGCTTGGCGTTGTATAACTCGTTCTGTTGTATGTTGAGTGATAGTCTTATATATAGTCTTATAGTTTTATAGTCTTAATAGTCTTATATTACACCTCTAACCCATTTACAATATATAAAAAAGACATCCTATCTCTCTCTTGATTTCATTTCGCCATGACACCAGGAACCAGGAACAGGAACCAAAAAGAAAATGCAGAAATTTCCCCCAAATCACGCCACTTTGTAAAGACTCGAAAGTGCCTGAAGAAAATTAGCCACCGAAAAAAAAAAAAAGAAAAGAAAAACGTCAAAAGAGTCAAAATCCAAAAGAATCCTTATTCCTTCAACTTACAGCAGCTTGTCGAGGCTCAATAAACAAAGCCTTAGCCTCAACCAGTACCACAGGATCTGTCCCATCAATCGGAAGAGTCTCAATCCGACCTTCCACCCACGCCTTGCGACCTTCAACCTTAACTGTCTCCGCACGAAGGGCAACATACTGATTCGCCATAGCCGGAGCCCGGTAATCAATATTCAAATTGGCCGTAACACCCACCTTGCTAGGCAAAGCCGGGAAGCAACAACGCGCCAGACCCTCATCCAACAATGTAGCCAGTAGACCACCGTGAATAATGCCCTGGTGACCGCAGACATCACCGCCGAGATACATGAGCGAGATCATGGTTTTACCCCGGCGCTCGCTGAATACATATGGCGGCACGACGATCTTCCCGGGTCCTGCTAGCGTTCCGGCGGTCAGGTTGCGTTCGCGGAGAGGCTCCGGGATTGTAAGGTGTGGGCGCGATTCGGTGAAGTCGGGGTCTGCGCGGAGAGCCTCGGCGACGGGGTGGGTGCGGATTGTGTTGTCGATCTTGGAGGTCACAGGGTCCGTCGCAATGAATGCGATTAGGGTCTCCTCTTCGGTTGGGGTGGCCATGATCCGTGAGAGGGTGCGTTGGGTTTGGTAGGTTAGCCCGATGGTGAATGCGAAGACGGCGATTGAGGTGAAGCCGATGAAGCGGCGGAGACGAGAGCGCTTCGCGGGCGGTGGTGATGGGTGGATGGAGGCGGAGGGACTCGGTGCTGCGAATATCGAGTTTAGTTCTTCTGTTAGGAATAAGGTCTAGGCTGTTTCTAACTTACCGGTAGAGTAGGATCGGGTATAGGATCGCTTCGGAACAGCGGAGAAAGAGTCGCGGATAAGGAGTCGCGAAGGAGAGAGTGTAGAGGGTAAGGAAATGGCGTGAAGAGAATGAGGGAGAGAAGTAAAAGATCGATGGAACATAGTAAATTCTAAAGAGTGAAATTAACTAAGACAAAAAAAATTCCAAATTTAGCGATCTAGAAGGCGACAGTTGTTGAGAAAAGAGTGGTTGAGGACGCGGAAGTGGATTTGGGCGAGATTTACCTCGGCATCTTCACTTTAGAATATTCTTTATCTTCGTCACTTCTTGGGAATTTTCTATAGTTCGTTCTATGAATTATATAGATTATATATTGATAATCAGGTTACTGGGCTTTCTTATTGTTTCTCTGGCTTTACACTAGATCGCAATACACATCCGTGTACGGAGTACTTAACCGGCTCAGCAAGATAATAGAGTGCTAAAACACATACGTGCAATATTCCAACAACCATGTTGTTATTTGGTAGCTATTGATCGGTCATTTTAACATTACTGATCAATTTCAAGAAAATGAAATGGCTTCATCCTCATGATACTGAAAATTACACTGTTAAATGCTACATATGTACAAATATATATGTTGAAATTAGGGAATCATCTCCAAACTCCCTAGGAAGGGAAACCAATCTATCTCGCTTACTAGGCTTCTGGCTGGCAAACGTACCCAGTTTAGATTTAGTCGGCCTTTGGTATCGATCCTAAGTAGAGTGAATTGATCTACAGACCCTCCGGCATGTTTCCTATCTTAGAAGACTATACGGCTAATAAGCCCTGCGGCATTTCTCCGCCAGGGCTACCCCCGCATGAATCCCCGTGGCATTGTAGCATTGTATATATACAATATTCGATCTACCTATGTATGTCTTATCCCACCGGAAAATGTAATCCTATAAGTTAGTCCGCTGTACTCATATTTTAGACGTCTGCAGAATAGTTAAATCAACTAGCTAGAGTTCAAAATGATAAACCCCACGGACTGGCAGAAACCCCTCACTATTTTCCTTTACTTTGTTCTTTCTCTTTCCTCTTTTGTCAATGGACAATCCGACTCAAAGATCAAGGATGTTGGAGCCCAGGCCTTTGCATTCGATCTCGGCGGTGTCGAATTGACCCAAGACCGCTTCCTGGACAACCAAGGCCGTACCCTGAAATATTTGAAAGAAATAGACGTTGACAGATTACTTTATGTCTTCCGGGAAACCCACGGACTATCTACACAACAGGCAACGCCTAATGGTGGCTGGGATGCTCCGGATTTCCCATTCCGTTCGCATGTCCAGGGACATTTCCTCACTGCCTGGGCTCAATGCTATGCTGTACTCCGCGACCAAACATGTTATGACCGAGCGATCTACTTTGCTGCTGAGCTTGCAAAATGCCAGGCCAACAACAAGGCTGTTGGTTTCACGGACGGATATGTATCTGGATTTCCAGAATCCGACTTCGCAAAACTCGAGAATGGCACTCTGACAAACGCGAATGTCCCGTATTACGCGGTACACAAGACTCTTGCAGGCCTTCTCGATATCTGGCGCTTGACAAATGACACTACCTCTCGAGATGTCTTACTGTCCTTGGCCAGCTGGGTCGACAAACGCACTGAATCGTTCAGTTACGAGGCAATGCAAAAATTATTACAAACCGAATTCGGCGGTATGAATGAGGTGTTGGCCGACCTCTACCACCAAACAGGTAACGAGAGATGGCTTACTGTTGCCCAACGCTTTGATCATGCCATTATATTCGACCCCCTCGCAGCCAACAAAGATGAGTTCGACGGTCTACACGCAAACACTCAAGTACCAAAGTGGATTGGGGCCGCTCGCCAATACAAAGCCACCGGAAAATCCCGCTACCTTGATATTGCCCGCAACGCCTGGGAAATCAATGTCAAATCACACACGTACGCGATTGGCGGTAACAGCCAAGCCGAACATTTCCATTCTCCAAATGCTATCGCCGCCTATCTTCGAAATGACACATGTGAAGCATGCAATTCCTATAACATGCTCAAGCTGACTCGCGAGCTGTGGCTTCTCGATTCTGATAATTCGGCGTATTTCGATTTCTACGAAACCGCATTACTCAACCACCTGCTAGGCCAACAGGACCCCCCATGACCACCACGGCCACATCACTTACTTCACCCCTCTCAACGCTGGAGGTCGCCGCGGTGTTGGTCCCGCCTGGGGTGGTGGTACTTGGAGTACGGACTACGACTCATTCTGGTGCTGTCAAGGAACGGCACTCGAGACAAATACCAAGTTGATGGACTCGATCTACTTTTACAATGACTCGACATTGTTTGTCAATTTGTTCATGTCTTCTGTCCTGAAATGGCCCGAGATGGGTATTACCCTGAAACAATCTACGACTTATCCCGTCGGCGATAAATCAAAACTGGAAGTTTCCGGAAGTGGTCGTTGGACAATGAATATCCGCATCCCTGCGTGGGCATCAAGCGCGGAGCTGACACTAAACGGAAAGGCTTTATCAAACGTTAAGGTTAATCCTGGGACATACGCTCAAATCTCGCGCACATGGGCCGATGGAGATATTGTTGAAATCCGCTTCCCCATGAGTCTTCGTACGGTGGCTGCAAATGACAATTTAAGTATGGTTGCAATTGCGTATGGGCCAACTATTTTGTGTGGTAATTACGGCGACCAGACACTGAGTGGTACGCCTACTCTCGCCCTTGACTCTATCAAGCGCTCCGGGGCTTCCAGTCTTGACTTTACTTCCACTGCCGACGACAAGGATGTTTCACTGAGTGCTTTCTATGATGCCCAGGGATACAATTATAACGTATACTGGACTACCACGGGAAGTCTGCAGGCTGCATAAGGGCCCAGAACAGATAATAAGGAAAGGAGGAGCTGTTGTTCAATGAATAATTTTATCGTCAATTGGTCGTATTTGTAGGGATAATAGTCATTCTAAAAGATAGGAGTAGATACTAGAGAGCATTTGGTGTATGAAAGAAGCAAATATAAACACCCGTTTACTTTACACGAACATGATATTGTGATAACTCGGATATGTTACTTTGTTTTCTGCGTGATCTATAGGAAGTGTGCTTTTGAGAAAAAATATTTGGAGAATCGTAAATCAATTATTAGCGGAATAATGTCCGGGTTGATCGGGTATTCTCCCCCCGAGAGTGGGGTGAGAAGGTATATAAAGTACAAATTTGGCAGTTAGTTGTCATAGTGGTCTAGTAAGAACAAGTATCAATCAAAGATATTCAAAGTAATGGCTTTTCTCCCCATCTCAGCCTCGCTTCTGGGCCTCGCAGGTTCGGCTTTGGGCTTGAGCTTCAATGTTCCAACATCCCCGCCTTCAAACTCGAGTCGGCAGCTCTCTGCAACTCCAGTTGGTGTATCGTGAGTCTCCATTTGATCTAGTAATACATAGACTTACTTATTGTGAAGACTGGAGTTCTTTGCGTTTCCTGAGTATATTCAAGACGTCGAATCAACGACGACATGTTTGCAGAACCTAAAGGATCTGACAGGAACATGGCCTCCGATGAGGATTGGAGGGACCACTCAGTATGTACGACCCTGTTATAGTTCAATATATGTTGTTAACAGTACAGGGACCGGGCGACATACGATAGCTCGTCGACCGAGGCTGTGACCTATACAGTGGCCAGCACAGGTGCTGCGCCTGAGACCCTGACTTATGGGCCATCCTTTATTTCTCTGGCTGCAGGCTATGCGGGGGAAGTCATCATTGGACTGAATCGCCGTTTGGACGATATTTCTAACACAATTTCGGCCGCGCTTCTCGTCCAAAGCAAAATGGAGAACCTGTACTCCATCGAACTGGGAAATGAGCCCAACTGTATGCCTTTAGTTACCCCTGATTGGCTGCGGAAATGCTAATATTAAGTGTTCAGTTTTTGTCGATAGCGATCCTATTGCCAATGGCGCATCCTGGACAGCCGCAGCAGACGAAGCATCACAAGTCAGCTGGCAAGATGCGGTGTGCGGAAATCTCTCTGCGACTGATATCATCTCCGCAGGTGTCTACTTTGGCACATCACCCATGAGCCTTGTTGGTCTTACTGCGAAAGAAGGTGATGCGGATAAATATGTGAAATATTATTGCTCTCACAACTATCCCCAGTCATCTGGCTCTTACAACCTGGCCACCCTTATGGGCCACAGCGATATTGCCACCCAAATTGAGCCTTATGCTGCGGAGATCTCTGCTGCTGCTGGCAAAGGCAAGCCGCATATTTTCGGCGAAACAAACTCCGGTACGTTATTATCCACTGTCACTTAATAGAACTGCTAACACATATCTAGCAACCCAAGGCGGTGGTGGTATCAGCCCGACTTTTGGTGCCGCTCTCTGGATTTTGGACTACGTGATGCAGAGTGTCCTGATGGGCACAAATGCCCTGTACTTCCACCAGGGTACCGTTGGAAACTGTAAGTCATAGCAACTCTTACCTACCCTGACCACAACCTAACTATCAAGGCCAATACTGCTGGTGGGGCCGCTACAATATAGGCTCCCCTTACTACGGTGCTTATTTCGCCACCATGGCGCTCGCCAATGCCGACCGGATCGCGCCTCTGGATAGCCAAGATACAGCATACGCAGCTTATGCCATCTACAAGGCTGGTGTTCCCGTTCGGGTCCTGCTCTATAATTCCGACTACTATATCTCTGCCAACGGAGAACGTTCGTCGCAGACATACACTCTTTCTGGGCTTTCCTCCCCCAGCATCTCTGCTAAACGGTTGACTGCTCCTTATGCCACGTCCCGGGTCGATCAGGGTGAGAACCCGACCGTTGCAGGCCAGACATTTGGCAATGGCACTTGCACTGTTCAGGGGACAGAGAGTGTGGAGACAGTCACTGTCTCTGGCGGGAAAGCAACTTTTACTGTTGCAGCTTCCGAGGCTCTTCTGGTTTACCTGTAATTTCTCGGCCTTCCCTAGAAAGGGGCCGGGGGAAATATTGCCCGAAATGCCCGAATGTTGGGGATGGATGGGATGTGGAGGTTGCATTTCCTCCTAAAGGCGCTACGCTACGCCACCGGGGATTCTCTGGTTAGGGCTAGTGGGAGTTTGCGGGGTAGAGGTCCTGGGTTGCATTCGATTCAATAGTAAATTTTGCTTTCGAACATTCAATATGTAATCTGCGAGTAGGCAAATAAGAATAAAGGGGTTGTAAAAAAACATATATTGTTCTAGAGTAAGTCCTCGGACAACAGGACGTCTATAGATGTATGCCTCAACTCCGAAATCATAACTAGTGAACTTCAAAACTTATTACATCCTGTCGGTCTCTCCATAAATAATTATCAGGCACTAGGTAATAGGCTTCGGTATAATTCAGAGCGAAGCAATTGCCGCCTGTTTGGGCGCTCACTAGACTGCCTTTTCATAAGCCAACCAACCACTCGTGTTGAAAACAACCCATGAGAACCACTAAAATAGCGAGTCGGCAAATGAACTACACGAGTCTAGCCTTGTAGAATCTGATTTGTGACTGAGCTCCTTGTAATAGAGTTAGTAAACTAATCCTTCTAAACTCGGCAATGAAATGGGGATATAAAGAATACCTTCCAGCTACCGACGACATTCGCTTGATAGAAACTTGGTGATTTTTCTTTTCTTGGGCACATACTGTGTCAACTTACATTTACGATGGACGTTCCCAAGGCGAACACTGAAAATATTGAGGATGCTTCTTCGCACCAGGGAGATGCCATGCCTACCAAAAGTATGGGCCCCATAATGCGGTCTCGTGAAGACGACCTTGGTGTCTGGCAGTGTGTGAGACGGTTCAAGATCGTGTCACTGATTGCCATGACTGCGGCGTTTAGCGCATCGCTAGATGGTTACCGTAAGATATACTGCTTTGAGGGACCTGTTAGCTTCGAATTATGTTGACCTGATGGTAGAAATCAATCTTAATGGCGGTATTGTCTCCAACAAAGGTTTCATTCGACAGATGGTTTCCAGTGCATCGATCATCCCGGGCAAATACATCTCCGCCTGGGGTGGTGTCCAATCCGCCGGTCAAACTATCGGTCAAATTGTATGTCCTTTGAACCTTCAGGGCTGACCTGGCGATTGTCTAACCACTATCCAGCTCCTCCAATATGCCACAGAAAAATTCGGTCGCAAAATCGCGTTCTATATAATCTGGCTCGATATTGTTATTAGTGTGCTCATTGAATCTTTTGCAACAAGGTGGGATCACTGGCTCGCAGCGAAACTCTTCTCTGGAATGGGTGTCGGTATGTTGCAATCCACCTTGCCTCTCTACTTGTCCGAAATCGCACCCACCCAGCTGCGAGGCTTTTATATCAATGCGTACAGTTTGTGAGTTAGGTACATGGGACTTCTATATTTTATTTGCTGATTCTCTCTAGCTGGTTCGTGGTTGGTCAGATCTTCGCCTCGGTGGCACTCCAGGAACTCAGCGCAAAGGACCCATATGAATTCCGAGTTCCTATCTATACACAGGTTCGTGGTGGCTCCCATTTAACTTTCATGGCCAATATAGTCACTGACAATTCCCATGTACCGTCAGTGGGCTATGGTTGGTATCATTGTCATCATCTTCGCCTTCATCCCAGAATCACCCTGGTGGCTCGTGAGCAAAGGAAAGCTTGACAAGGCAGCCAAAGTTCTAACTAGGTGCAATGGCAACGTTGAGGGATACAGCGTCGACGAGCAGATTGTGTGCCATTGTTCCCCTGTCGATCGTATTTAAGCAAAGTTCTAACGTGTCTTTTCAGGAAGTTATGACTGCCACTATTGCAGAGGAGCGTATCCTCGCAGAGCGTAACTGCGAAGAAGGACCCTGGGCTGTCTTTCAGGGCCGCAATCGCCTTCGCTTCTTCATTGCTGCTTGGCCCAAGATTGCCCAACAACTTGTCGGCTTGTCCGTGTTTAACACTTACGCTACATATTTTTGTGAGTATTAATCCTTTCATATGCGCCTTCTTTCACGCTGCTAATATCGGCCTAGTCCAGTATGCTGGTAGTAAAGATCCGTTCATGGTAACCGTCATTTTATCGTGTGTTCAGTTGATATCTATGTTGATGACTGCCGTCACTACGGACAAACTTGGTCGTCGTCCGTTGACAATCTACCCTTATGCAGTTACATCCGTGTCAGTTCTATGCCTCGGGATTATTGGCTGCTTCGATTATACCAAGCCATCAACAAGTTCACTTCTAGTAAGCCTTTCTTAAGAATCCAGCATATCTTTGGTAAATTACTAACTGTACTAGATCTTCTTCGCTTGTTTGGCCACTTTGTCCACCACCGGTGCGTCGGCTATTGGCTATGCGTATGCCGCTGAGATCCCCCAACAGCGTTTACGTGCGAAAACAGCCGGTTGGGCTCTTGCATCCTCAAACTTGGTCGCTATCATGTTCAATTTCTGCACGCCTTTGATGATCAATAACGCACCTGTCTCACACTGGGGTGTCAAGACTGGTTTCTTGTCAGTCTTCTGTTATATTGTTCAAGTCTAGGTTCGGGAAAATACTGACGGGTTATTCCTCTAACAGCTTCGCGGGCACAGGCACACTTGGGGTAATTATCGCTTGGTTCATTCTTCCAGAAGTGACACGCCGAACACCGGCTGAGATTGATGAGATGTATGTCGACCTTCTATCTGATATCCTTCTTATAGATTTGGCTAACCCGGTTTCTTTTCAAGGTTCGAGAAGAAGGTCAACCTTCGCAAGTTCAAGGGATATGTCACCGAAGTGCAGCTTCGCTCGAATGAACACCGTGAGGACCACGAGATGGTAGTCACAGCATAACACGGAATCAAGACTGGTAGTATCGATATAGCTTGCCGTATCCATTATCGATTTCTCTATACAAACTCGAGTATCCTAATATCGCAAGTTGGCATTGTAATCCAGACTACTCTAATATATATTCGCCTTCTTCGAACCCTTATACGGACCATGGAATCTAGTTTTTAAGGTCGATCGTCTATTACCTATCCTATTTCTACTTCATTTATTACGAAAAGCAATATTATGGGATTTGAACAAACCTATACGGGAGGAACGGAAGGTATACATGTAAATATAGGCTTCATTTCTATATGTTTTACAGTTTATTTTTTACAGCTTATGATTATATTCAAAATTCTTCTATGCTAGTTATTTAGTATATTACATTTGTAGTATATTATTCAACAGCCTTAGCACTAGCACCAAGCGAAATGTGTTTTTAAGATGTCTTTCTATGTGTTTTTATGGTCAGTCGCAACCTGTCGAACAGGACGAAAGGCACGTCCTGGGCTTGGGCCTTTCAAGGTACTGTAATATCTATGTGACTAGAAGTGCTTATTCAATCCTTAAAAGCAAAGCTGAGATGATCCACAACCCCGTGTTCTTCCTCCTTGCCGCCTGGCAGTCGACTGATAACCTCAACTGCCTTCTCAAGCCTGAACTCTACAATCTTCTCATTTCCAGAGACCTTCCATGAGATTGTGGCTAGATTATCCTCACCCAGTGCCACTTTCGCTTCCAACTCCCCAGTCAATCGAAGCCTAGGCTTGAAAGATATCTTCGACGAGCCAGCAGCCACTGGTTGAACACCCGCCAACTCAGTACAGTACTCATAAATTGGCACACTGCCCCAAGCATGACAATCAGACCTCTGTCTAACATCATCCTCTTCCCAAGTTGAAAGATTATTCGCCAGCATCCCCCGCCACGGAACCCACATCCTCTCCCAAAACGACTCATACAAGTCCTCACCAGCTAAAGAAAGTGCCCGGAAAGCATAGAACCGCATCATATACGAACACTTTGAGAAGCGCTCATTTGTAAACGATTCAGTCAAGATCCGCACAGAGTCTTCGGCCCTCGCCGCCCCACAGATAACAGCGAAGACCTGACAGTGCTGAGAATATGACAGCTCATCGGCAACATCAGCCGTCGAGTCGGTAAAGAATTTCCCATCATAGCAATGAGTCCGAATAGCCACTATCAGAGATTCCGCCCTCGCTTCGTACTCAGCAGCATGTCCCGACCGACCAACATCACGCACTAGACTAGCAACCTTCTGCAGAACCCACGCATACAACATACTGAAATACGTGTGTCGGTTGGATTCCCGTCCAGAGGTCGGAACTCCTTTGTCAGGATGGTCATCTGTAGCACCCCAGGTCGTCACCCAGTCAACGTATTGCCAGACGACTCTAGGCAGTCCGCTGACAAGACCCAGCTCGTCGACGTGGGCATCGAAGAAGTCGAGGATACCATCGATGCGCGGGAGAAAACTTCGCGCGAAGCGCGTATCGCCGAAATATAGGTGGTGGTCGCAGACCTGTAGGATCCAATATAGGGAGAACCCAGCTATGACTTGTGGTACGTGTGAGGGGAAGCGAGACTGTGTGAGGCCTTCCGGTGTGACCGAGGCGGCGAAGTTGGTGATTGCTTGGCGCATTAATCGGTCGTCGCCTGAGAGGAGGTAGTGGAATAGACCGACGGAGCGGCTGTCTCCAGAGTATCTGGATTGTTAGCCAGGGTGTGAATTTAGGGAATTTGTGACACTTACTGTAATTGTTCGTAGAAAGGGCAGTCGGAGTAGCCGTCGAACATGCAGTTTCGCATTGTTCGAATGGAGACGTCCCAGATCTCCTTGCTGTGGGCATCGCCGGGTTCCTTCCATCCGGCCTTGACGGCCATGGGGTAGTTGACCTGAGTAGCACCAAACGATACTAGCTCAATTGGTTCAGAGCCTACATTGATTTCGATTCTCAGGAGACGGAAGGTTCGAAACCAGAATGGCTCGTAAATAACGGTTTCGGTGTTGGGAAGATTAAGTATCACCTCATCGTATGGTCCGATAATGTGGCCGAAACTTGCGTTCAGCCGGTCGGCCTTTGAGCGGAAGAAAGGGTATGATCGAGGCTCAAGCTCATAGCCTTCTGAGTATGTCACTTTGAGTCTGATACGAGAAGTGCTTTTGGCTGCCTTGAAGGCCCATCGGAGGAATGCAGTCGAGTGGACATCCGCTTGCACTTCAAGTATATGAGTTGAGTTTGCTTGAAGTGCGAGAGAGTGATCATTTGCAAAGAAGGCTGTCCAATTGCTGGCATCGATCGCACTGTGGCATGCTCTGATAGTTTCCACAACCGCTGGTGTGGACTCGGGCATGGGGATCGAGCGTGGACGCAAATGCCAGAGCGGGATATCGCCATTGAGAGTCCTTAACCTGTAGGCAATTGGCTTTACAGCAGGCCCGGGGTTGGTAGGGATAATGCGCTCGCTGATCTATGAAGGAAATGTCAGTGCAGTTCGGGGGGAGAGCTTCGATCCGGAGCCGGTTTTACATGAAGGAACACATCGTCAGCCAATTCCATCGGAAACTGAATGCTTTCATCGACCCATGCCATCCAGTTATTGGAAGAAGCAACATCAATGACATCCCGGCCTGTCTCAATCTTCCCAGTGACTGTTAAGCCTGGAAGAGCCGTCCGCGCAAAGGGCATTGCGCCCCTCCAAGCTGTGAAGTACCGGACAACTACAAATTGAATCTTATTCTGCCCCTCTTTCAGGTAGGGGGCGATGTCCAGCGTATCATAGTACCAGATCAAAGGACTGCTGCGAGTCGGCCCGACAGCAACATGCTTCCCATTCACATAGAACTTGTAACGTGTGTCTGCTGAGAAATGAAGAACTGATTTTGTCGGCCGCGAGGACAAATTAACATGACGCGTGAAATGAACTATCTTGCCAGCTGTGTTTGCGTTTGAAGAGTCGGTCCAGTTTGGAACCCAAGTCCAGTTAGCCTCGAGCTCCTTGATTGTCTTTTCGGTGCCATACTTTGTCAGTATTTCACTCTATACGGTTGGAGATACACGTGAAATGAAATACCTTTTGTTCTTCTGTTAAATACATCTTTGCATGTTCTGGGTTTCCTCCAACGGGGGAATTATCGAGTTGTATATCTTCTGGTGGGGGAGGGACCAGCGGGGTTTCGGGGGATCTTACAACGAGGAGGAATGCCCGTCGGCGATTGAATTAATGCTGTGTATAAGCGATTGTGATGAGTAACAACTCCCATACTGGGGACATGTCTTATTAACCTTCTCTCTTGCTTCACTTTTCTCCGTGAATATGCATGAAGCGAATGGGATTAACTAAGATATGGGATCCAACCTGGGCATCGGATTCCTAGCTTGTATAAATCCCTCTCATAAAGGTCCTAGTTAAACTAGGCATGATGAGAATGACTAGATCATGGTTGGCTAACTTATAATAATAGGTGCGTTGAAAAGAATGGGGTATAATTCGTTCCTGGATGGAAACATAACACTGTCACCACATGATAATGGATACCTAGTATACTAAAAGTTTACCAAAAGGGCTACGATCTCAGCGGAATAGTTGATATAAATGGTTGACATGCTAGATGCCAGGTTATTAATTTATAAGCTCCCCCAGCTGTACTCCGTACATATATAAACAAAGACCCACTGTGTCAATTGAAGGGCGTCGATAAGACCAGGCTCAGGGGCCTTCCGCCCCCAAAATATAAATTGCTGGTTTATCCCACGAAGGTCACATATTTCTGGATTTTCGCGAGAACACTTTATTGGGAAGTCTTGCATGTTTGGCTTCAAATTGCTTGAAAATGGACCATGTCGCTTCAGAACAATTGAAGAAGCCCTGGATTGAGACACCTTTGATCGAGTCCGCAGCACTCTCAAAGGCTGCCGGATGGTAAGATTTGGCCTTTTATTTTCATCATCCCAACGTCCCGGGCACTGAAGAATAAATATAGTAGAATTTTCCTCAAGCTGGAGTCCCTTCAACCTTCTGGCTCGTTTAAATCACGGTGAGTCCGGCATTGCAGCGCGTCAAACAAGGTCTAATGCAGAATCGGAAATGGTTCAGGGGCATTGGAAACTTGATCCTCACATCTCTTTCCGATCCATCAAACAATGGCAAAGCCCTACATTTTTTCAGCTCCTCGGCAGGCAATGCAGGACTGGCAGCAGTTATAGCCGCTCGGGATCTCGGTTGTTCTTGTACTGTTGTTGTTCCCCTTAGCGCGAAGCCTATGATGATCAAAAAGATACGCGCTGCAGGGGCTTCCAATGTTATCCGCCATGGCGCCAGTTGGTTCGAAGCTGACGCGTATATGCGGGAAACTTTCATCGAAAATCGGAACCAGGACAGCAAATCAGATCCCTTGACTAGGAACATTTATGTGCCACCATTCGATCATCACGATATCTGGCAAGGTGCGGGGACTCTGGTTGATGAAATGGTCAAACAGTTACCTCCAAGGGACAACGTGGACGGCAAACCTGATACCTATCGTCCCTTCCCGGCAGATGCAATCGTTTGCAGCGTTGGTGGTGGTGGGCTTTTTAACGGAATTATCGAAGGCCTTGAGAGGCATTTGCCAACCTATCAACCGACAACACTTCAGAAGAAAGTTCGAATCCTTGCTGTTGAAACAGCTGGGGCGGACTCGCTAGCGCATTCGCTAGGCATGGGTTCTTTGCAACCCATAGCTGCAGTTACATCGCAGGCAATCACCCTAGGGGCACTCTGCGTGGCACAGCAGACGCTGAAAAACGTGCAATCCCCTCCGGCCGGTGTCGAAGTCACTAGTATTGTGGGTACTGATGCCGATGCTGCGATGGGAGTTGTGCGTTTATGCGATGAGCTGCGGTTGGAGGTCGAGCTGGCCTGTGGAATAAGTGTTCAAGTTGGGTTAGATAGGATAAGAGAAGTCATGACGGACCTCACACCGGATAGTCGAGTTGTAATCGTTGTTTGTGGGGGAAACGATGTTTCTTCTGAAATGATTACAGATTACCGCCAGAGGCTTGAAAATGGTTGGCAATGAAAGACTTGGATTGATGTTTGTGAAAACATTATATTGATATTACATATTTATAATTCAACATAGAAGGCATTGCGAACACAATTAGTGGAAATGATGATAATAATATGGTGACTGATATTCAATCTGAGCTGACCCGACTGCGGGCGATTATAGGGCTCACGGACACATAACTCTCTCATTGGTTTATATTGCTTGGCAGTAACTTAGACCCAGTTATATAGTTAGTTAGTAGTAATATTGAACCTAGATGATGCCTTATGATGCCTTTGAAAAGATATATAAAGAGACAACTAGAAAGACCCTAAGAAGTCTGGTAAGATGTCAGTGTATGTTAACTAGTTACTTCAAGAAGGCGGTGATAGAATAGGCTGTAAGGCACTAGCCAATGAGAGAGTTATGCGATATGGTCACTATGAACGCCCGTACACAACCTTGTTACACAGGGCGTTCTTCCTCCAGGGCTTTCTCCAACAGCTTATCTTTACACAATATGTAGATTTTAGGAAGAAATATCCTATAAGTATTCTCACAATAGACAAGATCTCTACTAGGAATTCCACGAAGCCTATTGCCACAAGGCATTGTAGATTGATCCAACTTCCAAGGTTATCTTGGATGATTTCTCAATCCTAACAGTCAGGGTACACGAGTCTCACCAATCAACCTCCAGTACACCGTCGCACTACCCTCAACAACATCAAACTTATCCCCGGATCCAATACGGGAATATGCAGAACGGAATGCAACAGACAGGGATCACCAGGGGCACGCATACCAGGCAGGTGCGGGATGGAGGGGGTATCTAAATACCAGACCTTCCCGACGCGCTCGATTATGTTCATCCAACCTAAATAATGCCGCCATATTTGTTATTGTGGCTAGTTTTAAGTCGTGCCCTAGTTACTGCTGCAGATATCTCTCCAGTGGAAGATTACGATGTCCTACAATACATCAATCCGTTGATCGGCAGTGCCAACGGAGGTAAGTTCAAACAACCAAATAAGTCCAATTACATACCAACAATCAAATTCTCTCCAGGCAATGTGTTTCCAGGCGCCTCATTGCCATATGGCATGGCGAAAGCCGTCGCCGACACAGACTCAGAATCCAACCAAGGAGGCTTCGCACACGAGGACGGCAGTGTCACCGGATTCTCCAGCATGCACGATTCAGGCACTGGGGGCAATCCTTCGCTAGGCAATTTCCCTCTCTTTCCCTATGCGAAATGCGCCGGCGATGATGTCAATGGCTGTATCTATCCGAAGAACCAACGAAAGACCAAGTATAAGCCCGACTCGGTCCAGGCACACCCAGGATACTTTGCTATAGAGCTGGCATCGGGCGTTCGGGTTGATATGACAACTGCGTACCACACTTCTCTGTTTCGCTTCCAGTTTCCACAGGATACAAGCGCCAGTCCGCTGATTTTACTGGATCTCACTGATCTGTCGAACTCCCGTCAGGACAATGCGACTATCTCGGTGGACAACACGACGGGTCGAATGACCGGTGATGCGCGGTTCGCTCCTAGCTTTGGGTCGGGAACATACGTCTTGCATTTTTGTGCGGACTTCAAAAGCCCTGCCGCCCAGCGAGACAGCGGTATCTTTGTTAATTCCCGCGCTAGTTCTGGTGTTCATGATTTGAAAATATCACGCAGTATCAATGGATACCCGCTTCCGGTGAGTCGGCGGGCCTTCTTCTTTTCATACAGAGAGCGCTGACCGTGATTCCGTAGGGTGGTGGGTTTGTCCGCTTCAAGTCTGCTCCGGACAATACAGTCCTCGCTCGAGTTGGCGTTAGCTTCATTAGCACAGAGCAAGCTTGCGCTCATGCCGAGTCTGAAATTCCACACTTCGACTTCAACGCAACTCGCCAGACAGCAGTCGAACAATGGACCGAAAAGATGCGTCCGATCCGTGTCTCACGAACAAATATGGATGCATCCGTCCTGTCCAATTTCTACAGTGGAATCTACAGGACTATGATCAACCCGCAGAACTACACAGGCGAGAACCCACTCTGGCAGAGCAGCGAGCCTTACTTTGATTCGTTCTATTGTCTTTGGGATTCTTTCCGTTCTCAAATTCCGTTCCTCACTATCTTTGATCCTTCCTCGGTAATGCAGATGGTGCGCTCCCTCATCGATACCCAGCGTCATCTAGGCTGGCTGCCGGACTGCCGAATGTCACTGTGCAAAGGCCACACACAAGGAGGTTCCAACGCCGACAACGTCCTGGCAGATGTTTACCTGAAAGGCCTCAGAGATGGCATTGATTGGGATGCCGGGTATGCAGCCGTGCAGAAGGATGCCGAGGAGGAGCCATACGATTGGTCTAGCGAAGGCCGCGGTGGCTTACGCAGCTGGAAGGATCTACACTATATACCCGTGGAAGACTTTGACTACGAGGGGTTCGGCACAATGACACGCAGCATTTCACGCACACTCGAGTATTCGTACAACGACTTCGCTATCTCGCAAATGGCTCGGGGCCTAAACAAGACGGCCGATGCAAAGCGGTACGAGACAAGATCGCGATACTGGCAAAATCTGTTCAAGAATGACCAGGCCTCTCTCTGGCAAGGAAAAGACACTGGCTTTAACGGTTTCTTTCAGCCAAAGTATCTGAATGGAACATGGGGCGTCCAAGATCCCCTCGCATGTTCGAACATCGACCAGAGTGCACACGCCTGCTCACTACAAAACACTGCAGGCGAAACCTTTGAATCCAGCATCTGGGAGTATCAATTGTAAGTCCTCGGCTCTTTTTTTTGTCAACCCAACCCCAGCCCCTCAGCCCCTTCTAACCATCCCCGTAGCTTCGTCCCCCACGATATGCAAACCCTAGTATCCCTCCTAGGCGGCCCCGCCAACTTCGTCACCCGCCTCGATTACCTCCATGACCAAAACATAACCTACATCGGCAACGAGCCCGCCTTCCTAACAGTCTTCCAATACCACTACGCCGGGCGTCCAGCAAAGTCCACATCCCGCGTGCGCACCTATATCCCCGACTACTTCTCGCCCACGCCAGCCGGACTACCAGGCAACGACGATTCGGGGGCAATGGGCTCATTCGTGGCGATGGCGATGATGGGATTATTCCCCAACCCAGGACAGAGCGTGTACCTACTCACAGCGCCATTCTTCGAGTCCGTTAGTATTGTTTCCCCGCTAACGGGGAAAACGGCAACGCTGAAAACCGTTAACTGGGCTCAGTATAACACGGCTAATGCTACAGGCGGTACTGCTGGTGGGAATGGGTTTATTCAGTCTGTTACCCTGGATGGGAAGCCTTATACTAAGAATTGGATCGGTCATGATTTCTTCACCGAGGGACGGGAGTTGGTTCTTGTTCTTGGGAAGGAGGAGAGTGAGTGGGGGACTAAACGGGAGGATTTGCCGCCTTCTTTGGCGCCGGAAGCTGGGGTCCGTGGCGATGATTAGGCTGTGAGGGACCCCAGATGGGCCAGTGTTGGCGAGGGTGGACAGTTTGGTGATTTTGATGGTCTTGGATCGAAGCGTATCATGTGGATACAGGGAGTTTGATACGTTGATTTGGGGCTGTGATGCCTTGTAACCCTGGAGGTACCTGCTTCCTCAGCCTCTGCATTTGGTAAGTAGTTTATCCCTATAGTATCATTTGTTTGTTGAACACATAATTCTTGCTTCCAACTCAGAATTTCAAGTAGGTTTTGAGTATATCTGATGCACAGGCATCAAGGCATCCAGGCAACGAATTTTTCTTGTTTACCCGCAAGTCAGACCTCTCTCTCTTTGTCCCCATGGAATATATAAAGGGCTCCATGGCGGTAGAGAGATTCATAACCTCCATATATCCCTCCTCTATACCAACGCAGAGATCTACGTGCATCAAGATCCCGTGCTAAAAGAACATATTTGCGCGAGCAGAGCTAGCATATAATCAAAATGTGAAATCAGAAAGTCTTTTGATATACTAAATATCAGTCATAAAATCGGAAACATATTTACAAAGGCCAAGTAATAAGAATCATCGAAACGCTAGTCTTTCGCACAAGTAGGGACCCTCCATTTCAGAAAGGAACACAACCGAACAGAACAAACCAAGAACCAAAAAGAAGAAGAATAGACCATCAGACCATCTATCCTTTACTGAGGACGATGGAACTTGCTCTCAATCCAAGGCATACCGACGACAGTAGCCTTGCGGACCTTATTGCGGACCTTAACAGCCAACTCGGTACCCTTCTTGTGAAGCCCTTGCTTGACATATCCCATAGCAATATTAGCACCACTAAGCGACGGACTCGGCAGACCGGAGGTGACAACGCCAACCTCAACGGGGTTCGCTGGGTCAGAGATGTCCACGACGAGAGCGCCCTCACGAGCAGGGGGCCCCTTCTCAACAGACAGTCCGACGCGACGCTGGGACATAGTCTTCGGGCTGGCGAGTTGGGAAAGGATAACGGATGCACCGTTGAAGGTAGCAGTGGCAGGGTCGCGACGATCACGGGCAACGACCCAGCCAAGGGCCGCGGCGGGTGGAGTCTGCGAGGTGGAGATATCGTGGCCGTAGAGACACATGCCTGCCTCAAGACGGAGAGAGTCACGGGCTGCCAGACCGGCGAGACGGGATTTGCTGCTGTCGGCGAGGAGGAGCTCGGTGACTTGTCGGGGGAGGGATTCGGCGCCGGAAGTTGGGATGGAGATCTCGAAGCCGTCTTCGCCGGTGTAGCCGGTGCGGGTGATGAGGAGAGGGTGGGCGGTTGCGCTGCCGTCGGGTAGGGTGAGGTACAGCTCGCGGCAATTGCCGAAGTAGAGGGTGCTCAGGTCGGTTTCAGAGGCCGGGGTGTTTGCGGTGTTGATGAGGGGCTGGAGGACGGAGGCGGCAAGGGGTCCTTGGAGCGCGACCAGCGCGCGGTCTCCGAGGATTTCCCACTTGAGGCTGTCGGCGCCATGCTTGGAGCGGTAGGCTTCGATCTCGGCTGTTAGGAAGGCCAGATCCTCTGTGCGGCGGCCGGCGTTTGTGACGAAGTAGAAGGTGTCTTCGCTGCGGCGGGTGATAACGCAGTCGTCGACCATGCCGCCGGTGCCTTCTTCAAGAAGGCAAGAGAGGGTGGAGGTGTTGGGGGCGAGCTTGTCTACCGAGGAAGGAGTCACCTTCTTCAGGAGATCAATAGCCCCGGGGCCGCTAAGTTGATGCTGGACCCTATAGACGGGGAACTTGGTTAGCCATTGTGGCGTTTGTTTTGGCTCGGAAGCGGTTGACTTACATGTGGCTCACATCAAAAAGACTGGCCTTCTCGCGAGTCCACATGTGGCTTTCCACATGGCTCAGATCTGCGTATTGCAAAGGCATATCGAACCCGGCGAAGGGTACCATCTTAGCACCATGCTCCACGTGCAAGTCATAGAGCTGTGTCTTGCCGAGGGGCTCGCTCGAGTTAGAGGCATAGCGCACAGCCTGGTTTACAGCACGCGAAGCTACGGCCGTGACTGGCGCATTGGCTTTCAATGGCTGACAGACTGTTGGTCGCACAATAGCCGCGGAGGAGAGCTCCCGCCGAAGTACGGTGGAGCCGATAGAGACGCGGGGAAGGTTGAGGGTGGCGGCCCTCGCCGCCGCGAGGTCAACACCTCGTGTGAGAATACGGACGCTTGACATGGTGAATCAATGCCAGAGTAATTGAATTGACGAAAGAAAAGAAGAAAAGAGAAATAAATGAACCACAATAACTCACCAATCCGCCGTCGGGGAAGCATCGCGGGAAAGTCACGTGGCGATAGGCGATCGGGGAGTAGCTCGTTGCCCGATTCGGACGTTCTACAGGAAGCCGATGGCGATACATATATATAGCTCTTAGAGCCTGACTATATCATTGGCCTATTTCCACGTAGAATCTGTTAGCAATTGTATAAATCATGGGAGAATTCTCGTTTGTGTTCTCCATCGAAAGCGATTGCGTTCCTGCAGTCAGGTACATGGCTACATTGATTGGTAGACCAAAAGGCCATCGGAGTATTGCCGCGGCGATGGCAAATCATACCCGGAGAGCCAAACTGCGACCCCCAAGCCAATCACCGGTATTCAACTAGAACCTGACAACTGCATTAGAGAATGCGGGGATAAAAATATACATATAGGGGAGCAAGCCTCAAGATCGAGGCTTTCCGTCAAGCTATACACAGCAATTGAAAGCCTGCGACAGGATCCGTATCCATCTGAAAAGGAAAGACAAACTATTCATCACACCCCAAAGGTGCTTAAGTGGTATGTGTAATCCAAAATTATCCGCCACTTTGCTTTTCGGTCATCAGTCATAACTTATAAGCCACCGATGTCTAGTCTATGACCCGGTAGGTCGAAAACAACGTGCACAAGAGATCCAAATGCGAAGATGAAGATGAAAAAAAATGATACAAACTCCCCGCCCTGCGGGAAGTTTACAGTGCATTGCTGGCACAGGTAAAAACACCGCCGACAGTGCCGTCCGCGTAGCTGGTAACGACGGACATAACAGCGGCCTAGGAGGAATATGTATTAGCACGAGAAGAAAGAACAAGAGCAAGCCAGTCCAGACAGGGGTTATCACTTACGTATGTTCCAGGACCCAAAAAGAAGAAACCAACGAGAATTAAGAAGACATTAAAAATGAATCCAAGCCAGCCCCTAATTCCACGGATCATAAAGAAACGAGGTCCGTGGTCTTCAGCGCGCATGCGGATATAAGCCACACCCCAGAAAATGAATCCGAAGAAAGAATCAAAGAGGGCGCTCATAATAGACAACAAGTCGGAGAAAAAGGGAATGACCTCGGCAATGATAAAGGCGGCAAGCCAAAGCGTGGCAAGAATTCCACCCCAAGCAGCCCAGCCAACAACAGTGTTGTTGCCCTTATGGCGGGTGCCCTCGAACAGGCGGAAGAAGATGAAACGGGCTGAGACGGAGGCGTACAATACGCCCAGGAAAATGATAGTCGGGATCATGAACGAGAAGGAGACCTTCTTGAACATGTCATCGCCGATGGAGCCGAAGGCCGGCGCAACCATGTACTGGTTACCGACGTAGTTGTAGGTGACTGCGCCGACAACGCTGAAGACGATTATCTCAGCGATCGTCACAGCTGTGACGGACTTCCAGAAATCGCGGGGCTCCTTCATTTCAGCGATGAAACTGGGGAGGGTGATTTGGCCAATGAAGGTGTAGCTGATATTCAAAAAGGCATTCATGCCTTTCACAAATGATGTGCCCTTGGCAGGAATGGCGAGCACAATGGGTTCTCCCTGTGCCGCCGAGTATCCTGCTGGGTGGTCTTCGATAGAGGCGAACACGGCAGCCAGGACAACAGAGATGAAGGTGAAGAATGCAGAGAGGGTTGCGACTTTAGATAGCGTACTGAATGTGCGAGGAAGCGAGAAACACCAGGAAATGATGGCGACAATGAACGAGAAGACGACTGTGCAGACTGCGCCGTTGGACATCGTGTTCAAGTACTCGGCACCCACCACGCAGTGCAGGCCCTGGATGAAAGTGTTGTTCAGGAGGAACATGACTGCCGTGGCCCACCACGCAATCTTGGAGTCCCAGAACAGATACTGACCGATGTCGCACACGTCGCGGACTTCGGGGTGTCGCAGACAGAATCTCCTATCTAGACATTAGCACCGAGGCTTACTACGGGGTCGCAGTCATTGAACGGGGTATCATACCAGGTAATCAGCGAAGTGTACAGGACAATGCCGGCAATAACCACGGTCAAGATCAAACCGGGAACCAGACCCAGAATGGAGTATGACCAGGGAAAGGACATGATAGCCAGACAGATGTACTCCGAGAAAAGCAATGCCGCAGTCTATTCAAAATATAAAATATCAGTCAATTAGGCCTAAACTTCCTTATCGGGTCTAATCGAAGCGCACCTTTTGCCAACTACACGTGCGGTATTTGATTGTGTTCTCGGACTCCATCTCAATCTGGCGACCGATGCTTTCTGTGGTTGAGGATGCGTCGAGAGCAGTGACATTATGCTGCGAGCCACGGCGGCCCTGGCCCTCAATGTCGAAGTCCTTCAGCTTGGGCTCCTGCTCGGATTTGTCGGACAGCTCGAGGCTGTTGTGGTCCCGGTCATGGTCCCAGCTGACAGGATTTGGCGATCCATTTGGAACAGCCATTCTTTATTTATTCTGAAGAGCGGACGAACCGCGCTTGTCGGAACTCGGTGGAGTCGAGAGGAGAGTTGAAGATTTGCAGATGCATGTAATGCTCCTCAAGAAGATAATTGATAGCAGACTGGTCGCGTATAAGCAGTGGTGTTCTTTTTCTGTGATTGACCTTTTTTTTCTCTCTCTCTTCTTTTTGGACGGATGCGCCGGTTAGACACTTACATTCGAATGATTGAATTATGGGGGTGATCGGCGTGTTGGAAGGTGAAGCGATCAGAGCTGGACGGATTAGGGCAAATGCGGGTACCTGAGGTAGTATTCCCTGAACTGCAAGCAATTCTCAACTCAGATGGAAGAGTGAGAAAAAGAAGAGATGCAAAGGAAGAGATAGAGGAGAGAGATGAAATGTAGAAAAGGAAAAGAAACGAAAAAAGAAAAAAAAGGTAAAAAAAAAAAAAAAAATCTCGAAGTATAGTAGAATACCATGTACTCTATGGCGCGATCGCATCTGCATGGTAATCTATTAATTTTGGGTATCTGGAGAATACCGTCATTTCTGACCTCGAGTGGAACTCTTTGACATCCGGAAAGTAAAATAAAATCAACCAAATCAACCAGGCTAAATGTAGTAATATGACGTTGCTAGAGCCAAGCAACAGTCGCAATAGGCAGATTGTCAGCCGAAGCCGTGGCTTGCGGTAAGGTGTGCCAAGGGACACAGTGTTTAGGCCCTGATGAAGTCAAAGTACCTGAGTTATCAGGGAACTTGGATCCAGACCATTGGGCTTGAAGATCGAGACTTGAAGTCCATGGTACTGATTTTTGCCAGTACATCCAGTCAATATACAAAGGGTGTGCGCCTTTTTTCCTCTTTTTTCCTTCTTTTGATATCAAGACTCCACGGACATCCCGAATCCGCACTCTTTTCCAAAGGGGGGTGGGGGCCAGGAGCTTAGCTTGCCAAGTTATTGGAGTCTCAGAATGTACTTAAACCCACTCAGGCAAAGTCGGTTGCGCCCCGCATATCCATATCCTGCGATATTCTTTGCATCGAGTGGACTGTGACGGCCCCGCATGCGGATGGCTGTCGAATGAATCCATCCAGCTCAGCGAATCCATGCATACCGTGCCTCACGAACATGGATTTAGCATGAAATAGTGGAAACGTGGTATATTTGATCAGGGATTTTATTTTCAAAGAGTTTGATTTGGTACGAGGTAATTTATGGAACGATCGGCAAAGTTGTCATTGACTTTTGTTTTTGCTTTCTCTGCCTGAGGCAACAAAATACATTCCACGTGCTGCTGACTCAGAGTCTGCCCCATCCATGGATGCCCAAACACATGACTTCTTGGTGTTCCCTTTCCGCTTTAGTGCTCAGGCCTTGCCGCTTTTTGCTCACTAAGTAGAACTGAGCACCCGTGGACGCCCCCGAGTATTACATAATCATCAGGCATCACCTGACTATTACATAAGTTAGACTTGCCCAGGTGCTCGCTGAGCAAGAGCAGCCAAATGCAGTTGTTCGCATATGGAAGGGGGAAATTAATATTTCGAACTAGGCTATGTGACGAGCCAGGTCTACAAGCAAAGCAAGGGCAAAGCAAGAAAGTACTTCATTCGAAATACTAAAGGTGGGGACAATTACGGGCGACTATAGGGATCACAGTCACATAACTCTCTCATTGGTTTATATTGCCTGGCAAACCTCGGAATTAGTTACATATGTAGTAGTAATATTGAACCCGGATGATGCCTTCTAATGTCTTAGAAAAGATATATAAAAAGACAACCAAAAAGACAACTAAAAAGACCCTAAGAAGAATATCCAAAAAAGAAGATCTAGTAAGATGTTAGTGTATGCTTATATACGGTATGCCTAATACCATATTTTCCCAACAATGAAATTTAGAAGGAAACCTAAGGTCAATGGTTAGTCGTACATGTATATAGGTGTAAAAGAGAAGTTGAAATTAAAATAAAGAAGGCGGTGATAAAATAGGCTGTAAGGAACTAGCCAATGAGAGAGTTATGTGACAGTAGTCTCTATAGTCGCCCATAGACAATGCACACCCCAACCTAACAAATAAGCAAAGCAAACAAAGCTACGGGGGACCAAATACGCCACCGGAACACAACTTTCTCATTGGTTTATATTGCTTGGCAGTATTTCAGATCCACTCTCACCATACAAAAACTAATTTGTTAACTATTGGATATAAATATACTTATCTAGATACCATACAAAGTTAAGCTTAGAAAGTGTGGAGGGTGAGAGGTAGGTATGATCTACCGACCTACTTAAGGGTTTGATGCCCAAGGCATAAGTGTAAAGGCCTAAGGCTACTATCATAACAAATATATTAAATTCAAAGGTTGTTATTATTATAGCCTTAGGCCGCTATATATATACCTTAACCATCAATACCTCTATAGGCAATCAGCTCTCTCCCTCACTCTCCCTCTATTACCTTTATATAAAACCACCACAATATTACTTTATATGTCTTCATAATCTCATCTACTCTATAGGACTAGAATAATCAGAGCGATTAAGGTATAAATGCATAAAAATAATTGAAATTGAAATTAGTTTATAACTAGATCAAAATTAACATGTATGCTTCGAGGGAGGGGCGGTGAGAATCGCCGTCAGGTCGTATCCAATGAGATAGTTGTGCCCCGGTGGCATACTTAGTCGCCCGTACAAAGCAAACAAATCTGACATGTGATCTAGCGTATGATAGCAGATCGTAATAGGTCAATTGTCCTCTTCGGTACCCTGGGGTGATCAAATGCTGTGCGTTTATACCATTGATCATTGCGCTCGGCAGGGTCGTCGATTTGGTCATCGTCACGATCGCTATTGTGGCCGAGCTCGGGTATGTTAGCCTGCCAGGCAGCAATACGATCCGCAGTATCACCAGTAGCAGGAGTATCGTTATCGACGGGGTCAAGTGAATCCTCCATCTCCATCAGCGCCCGCTTAGCGCGCGCCTAAGGATTCAGAGCTGGCGAAGGGGTGGAAAACGGAAGAGGGTACGGGCGATTAAATATGCCACCGGCACATAACTCTGTCATTGGTTATCCTCACTCTTTTTGAAACAACTTAGTTAGCGTATTGTATTGATCATGTATATATGTAGCTATGATCTTGAATTCTTCCTTCTTCAACTAGCCGTGCCAAGCGACCAACAACCTTCCAGTATTTCTACTGAAGTAGATTGAATTTGAATTGAATCTGAATTGAATCATACATAGTTATGTATTGTAGAGAGGACTGTTGTATACAAATTGAAATTAGCGTATGTTTGTTTCAAAAGGCGGTGATAAAAGGGCGGTGAGGTACCAATGACAGAGTTTGGCATACTTAGTCACCCGTAAACGTTCAAACGGCGGAAAGCACCCATGAAACCGTACTGCTTCCCGGTACGCACATAATCAAAGGTAACGATGTCCGCTTCGTTACCCTGGATAGCGTCGATCTTGAAAGCTCGAACGCTATTCCAAGCTACACCTGGCTCGCTCCGTGCGAGTTCGTGTAGATCCTTGATGTGGAGACGCCACTGTGCCTTATATCTGAAGATAACAATGTCTTTGGGTTCAGAGAGACTGGCGCGAACAAGCTTGCGAGTAAGGTCTAGGACAAATTTGCGGTTTCCTGCATTTGCGAACGATGTACCTATGCACTCTTCAGTTGTCTAAGGAACATCGAGAATGAGAGCATTCGAATTGACTTTATATGGATTGATCCATGTTCCATGATGCGAGGCGCTGGGCCTTATCCTCTGGATCGGAAACCGCGTATCATCCGTCGTTTGATGATTAAGTATGCCACAGGTAGTTTGTTAACTGGTTAGTTAGTTATATAACTCTGTCATTCATTTTTATCACTGCCTTTTTGAAACATACGCTAATTTCAATTTGTATAGTAGCCGTGCCGCCCGTGCCAAGCGCTCAAACTAGCAGCTAAGAGATCAGCCAATTTTCTTCCTAATTGAATTTAGTGTATAGTTATGATTTTGAATTCTTTCTTCTTTAACTACCCTCTCTATAATACAATCAGATTCACTACTTCAGATTCACTTCAGAAGTTCAGATTCACTTCAGATTCAATTTACTTTTAGAAGTCCCAATATCATTTTAGAAGGCATTGATTTGATTAACCTTATAATCTAGGTATTCAGACATCTTTAAGCATCGGCAAGCTTCAATTAATCACCTGCAGTGATCACTGCGCCAACGATTCTCATATATTTACATCCCTCGTTTGTCGCTATTGACGAGGCCTCGATGATCCGTGAGACTGATCTGCATGCCACCTTTGCCTGGTTCGACCCGATCAGCTTTGGCCTCTTCGGAGACAGTCGACAGCTCGGACCGCACTCGTCCGACGATAAAGATGAAGACCCTTTCTACCAACAGGTACAATTGTCACTTTTGGAACGAATGAGCACGGCAGGCCTTATGGCAGCATTCCTCAGACATCTACGGGCGACTGACTTTGCCACCGGCACATAACTCTCTCATTGGTTCATATTGCCAGCAGTGATTTAGATACAATGTGTGCGATCCCTAGTGCGTCTCGTTTCATGCGCCGACACGCTTTCTGAAATGCTGCCTCGTCCTCTGCCTCGATTCTATACTGACGATCTTTCCAGAAAGCGTCAAAATCGTGGTATGGACCTAGATCAAGGGTGGCTAAGCCCATGGGCTACCTGGGATCTTTCCTGCCACACCGAGCATGGCTGCACCGAGGGACGTGCGGATTTCCTTAAGTCTCGGGTCCGACACACCTTCGAACGAAGAAACAGTGTCGGGCCTGGTGAGAGAGTAGTATTGGGTCAGTTCGTTCACACATTCGGCAGCGGTGTAGAAATCAGCGACGATGGCATCCATGTCATCGACCTCGTTGCATTCAGGCATTTCCTCGTCGGCGGGGTTCTCATTGTGACCAGACGACTCATCGGGTGGGATGAGTGTATGATCTTGAACAGTTTCGTCAGAAGCAGGATCTTACATAGCGAGGTCAGAACTAAGGTCATTAACAGATTTGCCGGAATGATCGGGTGAAGACTGATTCGCGATCTTGAAATATGCCCTTTCCACAACTTGCTTCTCAATATACACCGCATGGACGGGTATGATCCGAGCTTACGAATCCGGGAAGATCTTTCGGGAAATATCCGTGGCCTTGATAGTGATGTCGTTGGCAACTGAGTTTGTTGCAACCATGACGACAACCTGACGCCTTGTGTTCTCGTTGTACATATTTGTTACGGGGCAAGGTCATATGACCTGTCTCACCGCTTTAGCTAGTCTAATAGCCACTACATAGGTAGTTAGGAATGACATCCTTTTGCCACTTCCCCTTACAAATGGTAGCACGTCCAAACACGTCTATTATAGGGAAAAGAAGGATAACATCGTTTTTTTATCTTTAAAGCTCTTCCCCGAGGTTATTATCTTTTTCTTTTCTCTAAAACCGATCGTCGGCGGCGACGTCACGGTACGTCGTCGTCGACGCTCTTTAGCGTTTCTCGACGTTCGGATTACGTAACGCGGACAATAAATACCGTAGACGTAGTTATTATCCACTAATAGCTAGTACGTCCGCGGTAGGCAATTAGCTAACTATTATAAAGACTATCCTAATTTTCGCGTTTCGGCGGAGGCGTTATCGTTATTAGAGCAATTTTCCACGACCGTCGGCTATACTAGTTAGAATTAACGCGTTATAAGGTCGACGAGGGTTACTAACTAACGCTACCTACCTAATTAGGTAGTTAATCCGCTAGTAGTCCGTCGGCTATTAAAATAGTTCTACGCCGAGGATAAAGCTCGGCGTTCGGAGGTTAGTAGCGAGGTCGATACTCCGGCTATATATATTAATATACCCGTTATAGACTTAGTTTATAGCGAGGTTAACGTTCTAGCTATACTATTAAATCCGTCCCCGATAGTACTACTAAGATTACCTATTAGGTTTATTAATAGGCTAGTTTTAACTAGATATAGGTCTCGTTTACGTTCTTTTTCGTACCCCTAGACTAAGGAAGATAAGATACCGCCTATATCGAGCGCGTCTACTAGTATTAACGTTCCGGCTACTATAGCCCCGCGTTAAGCGGTAGGGTAGCTAATAGAAACGAATATACTAAGAGTTATATTACCCGAGTTATTATAGCGGTCGGCCCTAGAGGCGACTATATCCGCTATAACGCCTCCGGTTATAGTACTATATTTACCGGAATTTATATACTTATATCTTTAAAGATCGCCGATAATACGCTTTTAGCCGCTATTATCGCTATAAGGTTTTCCTACGCTATACCCGATATACCTATCTTAATATATATAATATCTATAATAGTATCCTATAGACGAATTAGCGATACTAAAGGATTAGTTATAGTCTATATAAAGAACTATTAATTAATTAAGCTAGTAATTAATAGCTAGTTCGCGGCGATCTAGATATATAGACGGACGATTATATAATATCTCGCTAAGAGATATAAATAGATAGCGTATTTATATACTAAATAATAGCGATCCGGGCTCTTCTAGCGATAGTAATTATAATAATCGCGACTATAAATCGCGGGACTATAGATCTAGGAATCGCTAAAGAAGAAGTTCGAAGACTTAAAGATCCTAGTCGGAGTCGTCGGAATCGCTAGAAAGATTTTATATAAGAGACCTAGGCTATTTCGATCTAGATATAGCGCTACTATTTTCCGAAGTTCTAGATAGATAGAGAGTATATTATAATATAACTAATTTTATTAATATAGCTAGGATTATAAAGCCGACTTACCGACCTAAATTAATAATAAAGGTATTTTATTAGTACCTTTTAGGTATAGCGGCGTTATAGTACGAGAACGAAACGGACGCGGCCGAACGAAGGAAGCTTTATATAATTACGAATATAAAGAACTAGTACGATAGCCTTAGTAAAAGATTCCGCGTCCCTATAAGCGATATATTAAGGGAGTTCTACGCCTTAGAGTATACGCTTTATAATATATATATAAGATATAATCCTAATAAGTTCTTTTAGAAAGTTATTATTCTAGATAGTAATTCTAGGACGGCCCCTATAGTAGAGACGTAGGCGATATTAGCGTTTAATAAAATAGCGACTCCCTTATAGATATAGCTTATAAGGCCGGACGAGAAGATAATAATAACGTTATTTATACGTTATATTAATAACGTTAAGTTATAATAGTTCGCTTATTATAGAGAGTTATAATCGAACGGAGGCTCGTCTAGAAGTTAGCGTAAAAATAAGCCTAGGCGGTACCGCTCGCTATAGCGGGATATAAAGGAGTCTAAGTCTAAGGCGAATAGGGATAGACTAGTTAAATTATAGGATAAGACGCGCTATCGCGAAGCGCGAAATAATCGCGTTAGCCTATAACTAAATCTATCTCGATATATAAAAACGGAGAAGGCGAGACTTACGGCCCCGGATAACTTTTTAATAGACGATAATAGTAAGAACGATCGGTTATCGGAGTTAGATTATAAGTACTATTATATAGCGAATAGCGAATCGGAGGACGATAATATAAAGAAAGAGGTCTTATTATAGGAGGATAGCGATAAGGTATATATTAGTTCTATTAAGGTTATTTAATTAGCTACTAAGCCAGCGATAAGTACGGGATAAGACTATCGCTTATAGAGCTATATAGTTCTATAGACTAAGTTAAATCTTAACCGCCCGTTAATCGATATTATATACGATACTAGCTATTTTATAATATTAATTGATAGGTCTATAGTTATAAATAAGATTTAGAAACCGGATATTAAAAGGCTAGATACTCCGATTAAGATAAAAGGAATCGGTTCCTAGCGTTTTCTAATAGCCGAATATATTATAGTCAACGTCTATATTATAAGTAGCCGCGATAAAAAAAGTGTTATAGTATACTTTAAGAGGGAGATATATATTATCGATAACCTTAGGCCTAAACTTCTATTAGATATAAATATTATCGCTATAAAGCGTATTACCTTCGATATATAGCTATCGGTCTGTAAGAATATACTGTTTCAGGTGTAAGGCCTGTCAACCGGGTAAGATACGTTGGCTTGGGAGGAGGAACAAAGGTATATTGGGCTGTGTGTGCCAAGACTAATTCTTGCCAGAATTTAGGGGTCCCGGGGGACCTAAGATTAAAAGGAAATGTACGTGCTAAGGCTCGGCACCGATCGGGTGACGAACCCCGTACGATTTATATACGTGTTAAAACTTCTATAAATATATATATCGCCTAAGTTCCTATTTTATCTTTAAAAGGACCTTTATCCTTTATAATTATTCCCCCTTCTCCTATAAGGATATCTATATCCGAAAATAGATTATAGCTATAAAGTATTAGGGAGATATTAGTAGTACTCTATAATAAAGGAGCTATAATTAGAATAATTCCGAATCTTTATCTAATTTTACTATATCTTTATAGTATTAGGGCTATATAGCTATAGATATATTTATAGTAGAGAACCCTAATTTCCTAACTATCCTTAATATTTAGTATCGATTTTACTATACCCGCTATTTATAGAAATCGAATCTATTTAAAAAATATATAGTATATAAGCTATCTTCGCTTAATAATTATTCGTTTTACCCCCGGAACGAGCGCGGTTCTATTTTCTATTTAGTATTTCTTATATAAAGCTAACTCTAAAAAATACTAGTAATATAATTAACGGAAATCGATATATAAACCTCTATTAGAGGGAATATAAGGAGATCGCGTCGAATTAATCGCGATTTTAGAGTAGGTAGCCTAGTACTAATTACCTACAAATAGATATTATACGTAAGATATAATATACCTCCGGGAGATAAGTAAGAGGGTTATTAATTTAACTAAAGACTTCGATACTACCTATAAAGCGTATAAATCCGATTATAGGTTTTCGGATAAAGACCGGAAGGATTCTATAGAGGCCGAGGTAGGTTCTTAGAAATTATACGTCCTAGTAATAATTCGCTAACGACCTATTTTAGTATTATAATTATCTCGCTAGTCGCTATATAATATATCTAAATCCTATTCCGCGCCTCCTTATTTTTTCGACAGAAGAGTAGTAGAAATAGTTTTATACCGAAGTAGGGTAGTATCTTTAGATAGAAGATAATAGTTTTATTATTTAGACCTAAGGTAAATATAATCTTTTAGTAGTAATCTAAAATATATATATCGGATACTTCGATCTTATAGTACTAGGCGTTATTCTAAGGGACTTAGTAGAGGATCTAGTAGATTCTTTTCCTATTCCGCTTTTCGAATTATAGGTAAGAAGGTTACGTATTAGCGTTATTTTAGATTTTAGCTTTTAGCTTTTAGTAGGTAGTAGATAGAAATAGAAGATATAACTTATATTCTTAGATTTAATCTATAGTTTCCTATTTTATATAGAATCCGATCTAGACCCTATCGCGTTAATAACCTTTAATTTATTTTTCTTTTATAACTCTCTATCTTCTTACTCCTTTAGATTTATATTTTACTACTTTTTTATTATTATTTTATAAATTAATCGTAATTATACCTCTTATTTATTATTCGCTATATAAACTACGCTCTCTAATTTTACGCTAGTATACCTAGTATATAATATATCTATACGTTTCTATACGCGAGTAGATAGATACTAATTCGGTATCTCTTCGACCCTTTATTATCTACTACTTCGCTAAGATATATAATAGAAAGAATTATTAATACTATAATAGGTTATATAAGTCTTATAAGATAGTAAGTATTCTAGACTACTCTAATAAGGATTTAGTACTAAATCGTACTAACCTCGCTTAGGTCCTTAAAGATATTAAGAGGAACTACTATAAACTTTTAGCGTACTTATTATAGATTTAGGACTTTTAGATAAACTCTAATAATAGCTTTAGCGAAGACGCTAAGCCTAATATTAACGACTAGGATACCGCGATTATATTATAGCTACCTTATAAGCTAGTTATTAGCGTTATAATATATATTTAGTATCTTATCGCGAGTTTTAATAGTTTTATAAAGTCTTACTATTATACCTACTCTCTTCCTAGTACTTATATACCTTAAGTAAAGTATTTTCCTTTATATCTTCGGGATTTTATTCTAATCTATTTCTAGGCTACTAAAGACGCTTATTCCTAGTAAGTATCCGACTATAGTTCGTTAGTAATTTCTTTATTACCCGTTCCTATTACCGCTATTAAGTATAAGAAACTTATAAATAAG